ATCTATCTATCTATCTATCTATCTATCTATCTATCTATCTATCTATCTATCTATCTATCTATTTCAGTCTCTTCGTATATATCTATGTCTGTTCTCATCTATCTATCTATCTATCTATCTATCTATGTCTGTTCTAATCTATCTATCTATCTATCTATCTATCTATCTATCTATCTATCTATCTAATTCTGCTCCTTATCTATCTATCTATCCATCTATCTATCTATCTATCTATCTATCTATCTATCTATCTAATCTATCTATCTATGTCTGTTCTTATTGCAGTGTAACCCGGATATAAGAGACCCGGATATAAGAGAAACCCGGATATAAGAGAGATTTCCTCTGGTCCCAAATTAGAGCCTGTGTTAATGTATATAAAACAGACCAAACCCGGATATAAGAGAAACCCGGATATAAGAGACTTCTTCTCCGGTCCCGACAACTCTCTTACATCCGGGTTACACCGTATTATATTTGTTTTGATTTATATTTTGTGTTGACACCGGTTTTTTTTTTTTTTATTGTTTACGCAATATATATTTGTGGTAAAATATTATTGGAGTGAAAATATTTAAATAAATTGTAGTTTCATTTTGAATTTGAATTTAAGCTCAGATTAACATTTCAGATTGAAAATAATGTTTTACATAAGAAATATAAATTGTAAATTAAGAGAGTCGCTGGTTTTGGAAACGTAAGTAAACAGAAGAGAGGCCGTAGGAAATCAAGATGGGGAGAAACTCTATTTTTTTTTTCAAAAATCATGAGAGTAATTAATAGTAATATTACTAAACTGACTAAAACTAATGATATCAAGAACAAAGTTTTCCGTGATAAAATAAAATAATATAAAATAAAACAAAATAAAATAAAGTATTACTTCTTCTACTACTACTACTACTAATAATAATAATACATATCAATGGAAAGAAAATGATTTAAAACAAAATGATTTAAAAGTGATATCAGTAATAATAAAATATGCTGTGATAAATTAAGATATGGTTAAATAAAATGAAATGAAAGCTATATACGAGGGGGTGGGGTACCGAAAAGTAACCGGAATAGTGTCATATAATTCTATTCATTTATTGTTGCATGTTTATATTCTTATCACCTTCAAAGTATTTTCCATTGGAAGCAATGCACCGGTCCAGACGTGTTTTCTATTGTTCAAAGCAGTCCTGGAACTCTTGTGAAGTTATGTATTTTAATGATTCCGTCGTTTTCTTCTTAACCTCTTCCGCATCTGCAAAAAGTTTTTCTTTGAGGACTTTCTTTATTCGGGGGAATAAAAAAAGTCACAGGGGTGGGGATATCAGGTGAATAGGGAGGATGGGGAAGTGGGGTCATGTCATTCTTGGTCAGAAACTGCCTTACACTCAAGACAGTGTCCGCTGGTGCATTGTCGTAATGCCACCACCACCCTCCACTTTGCCACAGGTCAGGGCGTTTTCGTCTCACCTTGTCTTGCAAATGCTTCAGGACTTACAAATAAAAAACCTGGTTAACAGGTTGACCAGGAGGAACAAATTCTTTGTGAAGAATTCCTCTCACATCAAAGAAACAAATCAGCATCGCCTTGACATTGGACTTCACTTGACGAGCTTTTTGGGGGGTCGTGGTGACGTTGGATGCTTCCACTGACTTGATTGCTGCTTCGTTTCCGGGTCGTATCCATAGCACCAACTTTCGTCACCAGTGATGACCTTCGAAAAAAGGTCAGGATCAACTTCCAACTGTTCTTTTAGTTTATGACAGGCATCCTTTCAGCCATGTTAAAAATAGACAAAAAGGCTTGAAGCACTTCAAAACAAATGTGAATCACGGAGCTGTACGTCTTCCCATGATGACACCAGTTAGCACACTGATGCCTGAGGATTGCTTCAAGTGACATCTAGCGGTGGAAGCCTGAACTACTACCGGCTTTTCAAACAGAAAACGATTTCGGTTACTTTTGGGTCCTCCCTCAAATAGGAACTTATAAATATGTGTTATACCGGAACATACCTATTCTATTGTTAATAGACTCTCCCAGATATAATAAGTAGTAGTAGTAGCAGTCGCCAGGGAGCTCAGAGTGAGTTGGTGAGTCAGTCGATGTCGGACATTGAAGTATCAACCACCACAACTAGTTTGCTGCGTCATTAACTATTATATTCAAGTTCCTAACTTTTTGTACGTCGAACCTAATTTAGGACCGTCTTAGTGAAATACAAACCTCCACTGTGAAAGCTACTCTACAATACTAACGATTTTCAATTATTTTCAAAACCTGTTCCGGTATAACAATATGCAAATAAGTTAATAAATATTTATAAATATTTACTTAGTTGACTCCCGTGATTTTCGTAGGTTGCCGAGCGGCTATAACAGATTTTTGTGGCGTACTTTGTCGAACGCCTTTGTGTCGTCTATAAAGCACAGGTAGACGTTCTTCTGCATTTGTGTTGCCCTTTCTGATAACAGTCTGAGTATAAATATCGCCTTCCTTGTTCCTGTTTCTTTGATGAAACCCCAATTTCCGGTCTGAATCTGCTGAGCGTTCTATTCATCAAAATCAGAATGATGAGTTTCGTTATCCGACCCGTTAGGCTGATTGTCCGATAGAGTTCACATTCATCTGTCCCTGATTTTTTAGACAGTGCTACTTAGGTCTATCACTACTGTTGTAGATTTCATTTATTATTTCTGTAATCTTGTCTATGCCAAAATAAATTCAGAACCTCTCTTACAATTCCGTCTGGACCATCATTCCAATTCTATGTAACGAACTTTCTTTGTAGTAGACTTAGCAATTGATTATATAGTCAATTGACGATAATAAAAGATAATAGTCTGTGACTGGCTAGCTTCTTATACTGGTTTTATTGCAAGATTAAATCTTCCCACGAGTCCGCAGTTAATCGTTACTGTTATGGGATCGTACCCATAATAACATAATGGACTATTCCATACGTAATAAATACTGCGTCTCAAGAAGAAGCAGATAGTTCAGCCTGAAGTCGGGCGACCAGCTGACCTGTTGATCGGTTGAACTCTCTGCCTTCGGGCGGGGAGGAACCCGAACGAGGCTACGCCGAAGGGCGGAGTCTCTTTCGGGGAGGTAAAGCGACACTGAATCCGTTTATACGGGTTCAAAGGGCATATTTTTGGCCGAGTCCACGAGATCCCACGTTAAACCGGCCTTGTGCCACATGATGCCCTCGTGGGGGTGGGTGACTAAATACCGTTCAGTCTGAAGTCTGGAGTGAGTTCCGTCAGGAGTCAGTCAGTCGAGTCAGAGGCAGTCCGAAACAGAGTCGCGTTCAGACAATTACTACTAAACCTGATTGTTCGTACTAACACTTTCTACTTCTCTGTATATATTCCTGTTTGTAATATATCTGTGTTATTCCATATCCGTGTTCGAGTTCTTCTTTATTGGTTCTACCTTGGACTATCACCGTGGTACAAGGAACCGGACCATTTGCTTTTTACAACGAGAGTTATGCTTCTATATGTGGGCCGGGGTTGCACAATCCTCTCTTTTCAGCATTGACAGAGTTCAAAAGTGTAAACACGGCTTTGTGGGTGACGAATAATTTTTCACCTTACAACCACCTTCTAACAGATTCAACGTCGCTAGGCTTTCGTTAGTTCATAGCTACATGGAAGATGTTCTGACGAACTACAGTCCCTTGATTCCACCAGTTCAGACCTTTACATCTAAGACCAGCTGTGCCGCGTACAAATGATTGAAACATCCTGGTGACATTCGTATTCCATTTGTAAAGAGGAAGTTCCATTGGGACAACTTTTACTTTATGGAACAGACTAGCGGAACGGATGCTTTCCCGAACACTACAATCATATCCTATTCAAATGTGAATCAACTGATACCTATCTTGCATATCTGCACTTTCTGCTCCTACGTCCATAAAGCGACCTCTACTTTGATCGACTCTTGAGCCTTGTATTGGATGAAGGTTTTGTAAACAAAAGACAGATAAGTAGATAGATGTTCTGATAGGTTACATTCCTTAGTTTCACCAGTCCATACCGTTACAGCTAATACCCACAGTGCCAAATACACAAGTTTGAATCAACCCCATTCCTTTGGTAAGGAAAAATTCCACCAAGGGAGATTATTCCCAAGAAACGATACTTTGTGAAACAGACTCCCAAGAGGATACTTCCCGATCACTATAATCTCAACCACTTCAAGTTTATGGCTAACCATAATCTGCTACATGTCTTCATAATCTGCACTTACGTCTTTTTCCTGCGAGAAATGAAACAACCTCATTTAGTATCGCTCTGCTTTCAGTGCCTCTTGTGCCTTGTATTGGGGAAACTTTTAGTAAAAAAAAGATAACATCTGAATTGTATTTGCTGAAAATAATTTGCATATTTTTCTACTGATAAAATCCTTATGGAATGCTGTCGTTCAATATATGATTTGTTAAAAAAATATGACTTTGAAAAGAAACCCGGAAATTAAAATGACATGAAGAGGGTTGGAGAGTGCGTCAGTCAAAATGCTATATTCGAAATAATTTGTAAGTTGAGAATTCATTACAATTATTTCGTTCAAATATGAATTAATCCGTTCTCTGGATTTTACATCGGAAACTTTTAGTTACGCTACCTCATAATAAACCTGCCATGTTTTGGCAAGCAACTCGAAATCAACATAATGGCAATCATTTTTAAATTTATTTCCCACCAGTGACCTTTGAATAAATCCAACCTAGCTTTAAACGAACGAAGCAAGCACCCTTTTAAATCCCACCTACTAAATTTCACCAATGCTGCGCGTTACCCGCTCTCGAGGGAGCACTTGGTTTTGGACCAAATTCAAGAGGAAATGTTCAACACGATCCTAGTGGCTTCAAAATTATTGTTAGGATACAAACACCAACGTTAAGCAACGTCAAGTTTGGTCAGTACTTAGATGGGTGACCGTTTGTGAATAACAGATGCTGTAAGATTGGATGTGCGGTGGTTTAATGGTCTTACGCCCATATCATGTTGATACACTGGTTCTCGTACGATCACCAATGTTAAGCAACGTCATGCCTAGTCAGTACGTAGATGGGTGACCCTTTGGGAATAACAGCTGCTGTAAGATAGGATGTGCGATGGTTTAATGGTCTTACGGCCATATCATGTTGATACACTGGTTCTCGTATGATACACCGATGTTAAACAACGTTCTACCTGCTCAGTTCGTATATGGGTGACTGGGGATAACAGGTGCTGTAAGATTGGATGTGTGGTTGGTGCAATGGATAATGGTTCGGAATTTTTTAATCGGAGACCGGAGTTCCAGTTCCCGTTGTGTTCACTATATTCACTTACGCAGCCTTTGGAAATGTATGCATCCACCTCTTCCTCCCAGCTATGGATTAATTAGTAAGACGTGTGTCGCTAAAAAAGTATTATCTTGTAAAAAAAAATCTTAAAAATCTAAATTTTTTCTGGCTTTCAATAACCTGCAAATGGTTGATAAACCGTAAAAAATGAATCAATCAAGCACTAATTATAAATTTTTCTAATCATTTCACCACAAGCAAGGCTGGAATTCTAATAGTACTGGTTGCAGAAAGTGACGGTGATAGAAAAACTGGGTATAGGAGCGACCACGGAAAGGATAAAAGCTCAACGCAGTTCAGTAAAACAGAAGATGGCGATTGACGTTGCATTTAAATTTTTGGAGATTGTATTTATCAGAGATACAAAGAAACGCAAGGGATTTCCACAGAAAGTGCGAGAAAAGAAACTGTAAATGACGGTTACATTTAACTAATCCAACAGTAAAAGAGTGGGACCTAAATGCCAATCCTGTAGCACGTTTAAACACAGGTAGTCCGGGCACCAGAGAAAAAAAGCTCATCAGAACAGTAACCATGAAAATATAAGAAAAAGAATTTATAATGGATTCAAAAGTCCATTAGTTGATTTAAAAATAGTTTGTTTTGGGTACAAAAATATAAGCAAATACAGACTTTGAAAAGTCTCAGAAAGAACTGTGCCTTTTAAGAAGGGTAATAAAGTTTTAAGAAGGGCAATAAAGTCTCACGAAGGGCAATAAAGTCTTATGAAGGGGAATAAAGTCTTAAGAAGGGTAATAAAGTCTTAAGAAGTGGAATAAAGTCTTAAGAAAGGTAATAAGCTCTTAAGAAGGGTAGTATAATCTTAAGAAGAGGAATAAAGTCTTACGATAGGTAATAAAGTCTTAAGAAAGGCAATAAAGTCTTAAGAAAGGCAATAAAGTCTTCAGAAGGGTAATAAAGTCTTAAGAAGTGGAATAAAGTCTTAAGAAGTGGAATAAATTCTTAAGGGAGGCAATAAGCTCTTAAGAAGGGTAATAAAGTCTTAAGAAAGGGAATAAAGTTTTAAGAAAGGCAATATGGTCTCACTTTGCTTTCACGGCTTCTCGTAGCTTAATAGTGAAGATCACTTGAAAGTAGAAAACGTAGAAAACGAATTAACCAATGTTGTCAGCATGAATTTTTACAAAATCAATCTTTTTTTAAATATGCACGACTCCGAACGCGGCATATGTGACTCATTTTTTCACCAATAATTCAGCCATCAAACTCTACAAAGAGAAGCTAGTCTTTACGCATGTGCACAGCATACGTAGTGTCCATGATTTGTTTCAAAAACGTCAAGAAGCGATTTTCTATGCCGTTAGGTTTCTTTAAGAGAATTATCGACGCCCATGTCTTTTATACAGTAATTTCAGATAAATTCCAAAATTGTTCATTATAAACCTTTTATATATATATATATATATATATATATATATATATATATATATATATATATATATATATCTATCGTACAGAAGAGGTTTTATGCAACATGTAGGCAAGTATTTTTAAAAAAAAACAAAAACAATTATGCCGTACCCATCTGGCTGGTCTTTAATTCTAGAACGGAAATCAGCTCAAATTTTGGGCTGTGTCTGCAAGAGGCAAAAGAAAAGACTTCAAAGATGAACTCATGAAATCCCAAAGAAGAAATTAAAACAGAAAAAGAAATCAAAACGAAAAGTTATTTACTTTTTTTTTAATATTGTTTTCGTTTCTTTTTCTTCGATTTTACTTTTTATTCCTAAAGAGTCTTTTGAAAATATCCACAACGACAATGTTCTCAGAAGAAACTATTTTATTTAAAAAGCCCAAATTCTTTGACATCTACGAGCAGAAGTCTGTCGGTGCAACCTAAACACCGCTGACGGACAGGCCAACAATATGGAATAAGAAGAAAATGATTTCATTGAAAGAATTGTCAGATAACTTGCGATTAATTGATTGTTTCATATGTGGGTGGTGAGAAAACGTGTGTATATAAAGTGGTTACGCTTTCTATATGATTGATATGTACCTTTTCTTAGGTTGAATCTAGCATCTACGTAATCTGCTTCTTACGGGTTTGTTTATTAAGTCTATGTTGCTGGGCTATTCAGTCTCTGTGGCCGAGAGCTCTAAAGCACGCCGCATCAGAATGCCGTTCCTCCTATAATGAGAAGCGCGGGTTCGAACCCTATCGTAGAGAACATTTTCTTCATTAGGATTTTTCCAGTGCATAAGCCGATTAATGCAATGCACACTGTTAAATATAAAAACGAAGTGTGTATTTCAAATGTGGATATCCACTAAAATAATGTTTTAATCAATATATGATAATAATAATATGTAATGGACACCTTCCGTCGGTTTCGACGTATGAGGATCGGACAGCTTATTGATTCAGTTTAGAGTTTGTGCGATAATCCTAAGTGGAGACGAAGAACCGCTAATGATTTACAAAAGGCCACATATGGACAAGTGTGAGGATTTGAGATGAGATCACTGTTAGATTGGCTGACCTTTTAGGTCTTGCTCTCCTTCTTGAAGACGATTTAGACAAGCTGAGTCCACTAAAACACGTTGATCTCCATTCCTACCCGTTCCAGGCTAGCGCTCAAATATATATATATATATATATATATATATATATATATATATATATATATATTATTTAAAACATTATTTTAGTATATATCCGCATTTGAATTTTTTATTTTCAAATGTGGATATCCACTAAAATAATATTTAAAATATATATATATATATATATATATATATATAAGTAATATATATATATATATATTAAAACATTATTTTAGTGGATATCCGCATTTGAAATTTGTATTTCAAATGTGGATATCTTTAGATATTACTTAAAACATTATTTTAGTAGATATCCGCATTTGAAATACACCTCGATTTATATTTAACAATGCGTATCTGTATTAAGTTTAAAATAATATTATTTAAATAAGAAACTGATATATATATATATATATATATATATATATATATATATATATATATATATATATCAGATTCTTATTTAAATAATTTTATATTTTAAACTTAATACATGATTAAATTAAAATTTGAAAGTGGTAATTTTAATTTTCAATTTTATAGTAAAAATTTAATATTAATTAGTTAGAATGAATTCTATTTTAGTCTAAACCTAACATTAAAGCATTAATTATTATATCCAAGGTTCGTTGTCAAGTTTTTTGAATTCTCATATACTTGTATTTTGATTGGTCATTGCAGCTTAAGTAACAGCGTTTCCACTATCGAGAGGTCTTTGGTTGACTTGAACCTTTTAAAACTCTTTATTCTACATTCAACACCATCACTCGATTAAACACCGGAAGTGTTGAAAGAAAATGGCTTTTCTTGTAGTGATTTATTAATTTTATTCTAATGATTCATGCAATACGCCCTGTTAAATATAAAAACGAAGCATGTATTTCAAATGTGGGTATCCATAAAAATAATATATATATATATATATATGATTAAATAAATTACAAACATTATTCCTGCTTATTTTCAGTATAACCCGTTCATATTCACGAATATTTTTCTGTGTATGACAATCAAATGAGGCAAGAAATGCACTGTATCAGGTGTGCAACTGGTAAGGCAAAAGGTTAACTTTTTGCCCATACCTGGGATCCAAACATGTGCTACCACCCCAGGTAAGGATGAACCTGGGAACCTTCAAAACCTCCTCATCAGAGGCCTTGATGCCGGATGAAGTGTATCGTGGTACCCAGGACGATACATTTTTGAAAGAAAATTACCAGTCATACATTTTTTGAAAAAAAAATATTCCCAGCAATACATTTGGCTCTCGACAAAAGATTTCTTTACAAATATACGTCAAGAAAACCTGATCTACAATCTAATTTCTTACAAAAATACTTATTCTATTCATACGAACCTATCCTAAAAATCTTGTCGGCATTAAATAACCCGTTGAAGTGTTGATATGCTGTAAAATAAAATAAATCAAACCAACCACGCACGATATGTTGGATGTACCAATTTTTGTTTTTAGTATATTTTTGTTTTTAGCAACTTTTTGTTTTTAGTAACTTTTTGTTTTTAGTATAATTTTGTTTTAGTATATTTTTGTTTTTAGTATATTTTTGCTTTTAGTATATTTTTGCTTTACTATTGTTTTCTTTTTAGTATAATTTTGTTTTTAGTATTTTTTGTTTTAGTATTTTCTTGTGTTTAGCATTTTTTTGTTTTAGCATAATTTTGTTTTGAGTATTTTTTGTTCTAAGTATATTTTTGTTTTTCGTATTTTTTGTTTTTAGTATATTTTTGTTTTTAGCATTTTTGTTGTTTTAGTATAATTTTGTTTTAGTATTTTTTGTTTTTAGTATTTTTTGGTTTTAGTGTTTTTTTGTTTTTAGTATTTTTTGTTTTAGTATAATTTTGTTTTTAGTATATTGCTGTACGATCTCCCTACAAAAGATTAAAAAATAAAAAATAAGATCATCAAAAATGGGGTTTAACAGAAGGATACTTAGAATTCCATGGACAGAGCGAGTAAGCAACAAGGAAGCCTTAAAGAAAATGCAAACAGAAAGAACACTTTTCTTTTTGTTAATCAATATCACTCCAAGCAAGGCATTAAAGCCACTAAGACAGAAGGGCTTAGTGTGGAAAAATTAGGAACAAAACATTAATAATGAGCCGGAAGAGAAAAACGGACTGTGAATAGCGATTGGCATTTTATTTAAACTTTTGTAGATTAAAA